CCCCCCCCCCCCCCGACCTTTGAAAATGGAACAGTCGCTCCAGGTGGGGAACAGACTTCCCACTGGAAGAGGCATGGACACATATCTGGAATGTACCACTGGCGGTGCTTGGTGTGTGGGGGGGTGTAGAGCCGCCGTTGCTTAAGCTTGGCCTCGGAAGAGGCTCTTCTGGCGGCTGGTGGTAGAAAGTGCCATCATGTCTCAGCCAACTTATGGCAACCCTGAATGGAGTTTCCAAGGCAAGAGACGTTCAGAGGGGCCTGCCTCTGCACAGCAACCCTGGGCTTCCTTGGTCGTCTCCCACCCAAGCACTAACCAGGGACGAGCCTGCTTGGCTTCCAAGATCTGATAAGATCGGGCTAGCCGGGTCCAGCCGGGTCGGGCTCTTTTTGTAGCAGGAGCTCCTTTGCATATTAGGCCACACCCCCTAATGTAGCCAATCCTCCAGGAGCTTACAGAGCTCTTCTTACAGGAGCTACTGTAAGCTCTTGGAGGATTGGCTACATTAGGGGTGTGTCACTTAATATGCAAAGGAGTTCCTGCTACAAAAAGAGCCCGGCGGCACCCAAACGGTAGGCAAGGGGGGAGGCGCTGAAGCCACGGGCCTCTGAAGCTGGGGGTTCGAGGCAAACGACTTCGTTTCCTGTTCATAGCCGACTTGAAACCCAGGGGTTCGGAGAACTTAGAGCCAGATCCTGATGGGGGAACAGCAGCCACAATTCCTGCTCCCTGCTCGTGCCAAACACGGGTGCCGGGATCGAAATGGACAGCGGGGAAAGGGGGGACCCACGGGAACCCGCAAACAAAGAGAGGGCGAACTTTACCTCCTCCAACTGGGCTCGGCGGGAGGCGACAGGTACGCGGGGCTGTAGGGGGAGCTGTCCACGTGAGGAGGGAGGGGTTAAGGAAGACACAGACTCGGAGGGGGGGGCGTTGGAGAGAGGAGGAGGGGCTGCGAGTGCAAGAAAGCGGATGCCCCAACGCAGGGCATTCCCGCGAATGCCGCTTTTATTCCCGGAGCGAGTTCGAGGCTCCACCCTCGCTGTGGGAAGGCCAGGCAAGCAAGGAGGCGGGAAGGAGGGGAGAAGAGCGACTACGCGACCCAAAGGATATCTGACGCATGTAGCGGGAGACCGGAGACACCATGCGGCGGGGGTCCCGCTGCACCCTTTCCACCAAGCCGTGGTGCCGCGTGCCCCGGGCCGAATCCAGAGGCGAATGGAGAGGGCCCTGCAGGGATAGAGAGGAAGGAAAGAGAGCCAGAGTTAGGATGGGCGTCGGACCGACCGTGCAAAGCGGGGAAGGGAAACACAACAGAGAGGCCCGGCTCTTGTCGAAACCGGACCAGGCATTTAGGACACTGCATTGCCTTTTTCAGAAAAGAGAGAACGATTCCCACTCTAGCCGACACTCACACCAGACGGTGGCCAAAAAACAGAACCTGGGGCAGGCTTATTAAGGGTGGAAGTCCCTCCGAATGGGCTCTCCTCCTTTGGAGGTTTTTTAAGCAGAGGCTAGGTGGCCATCTGAGAGCCATGCTGATTCTGTGAACTTGGGCAGATCACGAGAGGGAGGGCAGGAAGGGTCGCCTCAGCGCTTAGTTCTCCTGGCCCTTACACGACCGGGGAAATGCCGATTGCCACGTTGGGGTCAGGAAGCAATTGTTCTCCAGGCCAGTTTGTCCAGGGATCCTGAAGGGTTTCTTGCCATCTCCTTGGCAAGGAACATGGGTCACGGGGGGGGGGGGGAGGTATTTGTGAATTTCCTGCATTGTGCAGGTGGTTGGACTAGATGACCCTGGGAGCAATGCTCCCTCTAAACTGTGGAGTCCTGTGAGCAGAAATTCTACTTTGTGAGCCGCGGGCATCGAAGTTGTGAGCGAGCGATTTGGCGGCTGCGTAAATTAGTTTGCTCTGGAGCCATCTTTCCTGAGCTAAGGCAAAAATGGGCGAGCCGGAAGCTAAAAAATGGTGAGCTGGCTCACACTGATTCGGCTTAGAGGGAAAACTGGTCAGGAAGCAATTGTTCTCCAGGTCAGTTTGGCCGGGGAACCTGGAGGTTTTCTGTCATCTTCTTGGCACGGAACAGGGGTCACTGGGTGTATGGGGGGGGAGGTATTTGTGAATTCCCTGCATTGTGCAGGGGGTTGGACTAGATGACCCTGGAGGTCCCTTCCAACTCTATGATTCTAAGAGTGATCCTTGGCAGCAGTTCCTCTTCTAGGGCAGTAGAACATGCCGTCAAACCACAGCCGACATACGGCAGCCCTGTAGGGTTTTCGAGGCAAGAGACGTTCAGAGGTGGGTCTCCATCGCCTGCCTCTGCGTAGCAACCCTGGACTTCCTTGGCGGTCTCCCATCCGAATGCTAACCAGGGTCGACCCCGCTCAGCTTCTGAGATCTGATGAGATCGGGCTAGCTCGGGCCGGCTGGGTCAGGGCTCCCCCTTGTACGGACTGGGAGAAAAGGCGGCAGCCCCCAAAGACTCAAGGTAGGACGTGGCAGGATCCGTCCCATGGGTGCTTTTCACCAATGCAAGCACCCTTCTTCAGAAGCAAAAGGCACCTCACACGCTGAGGAAGATCCCGTCCACTGGGGAGGACGCTACTCTTGGCAGAGTGGACCCAGGTGGAGGATCCGGCCAATAGGCACCACAGAGGGAAAAGGGACCCTTTTACCCCTGACGTGGAGTGCCCCCCACCAGTGTTCCCTCTAAGCTGAGTTAGTGTGAGCCAGCTCACAGCTTTTTATCCCCCACCTCACGCATTTTTGTCCTCCCTCAGGAAAGATGGCTCCAGAGCTAACTAACTTATGCAGCAGTCCAATCGCTCGCTCAGAACTTTAATGCCAGTGGCCAGTTTGGTGTAGTGGTTAAGTGCGCGGACTCGAATCCGGGAGAACCTGGTTTGATTCCCCACTCCTCCACTCGCACCTGGCTGGATGACCTTGGGCAAGCCATAGTTCTGATAAGAGCTGTTCTTGAAAAAGAGCAGTTTCTATCAGAGCTCTCTCGGCCCCACCTACCTCGCAGGGTGTCTGTTGTGGGGAGGGGAAGGGAAAGGAGTTTGTAAGCCACTCTGAGACTACGAGTGAAGGGCGGGGTATGACTCCAATCTCTTCTTCTTCTTCTTGAAAAAGAGCCGTTTCTGTCAGAGCTCTCTCAGCCCCACCTACCTCACTGGGTGTCTGTTGTGGGAAGGGGAAGGGGAAGGAGTTTGTAAGCCGCTCTGAGACACCTTTGGGTAGTGAAGGGCGGGGTATAAATCCAATCTCTTCTTCTCTTCTCACAAAGGAGGATTTTTGCTCACAAGACTCCACAGCTTAGAGGGAGCATTGCCCCCTCACCCTCAAAAATACAGATTTACAGGGAAAGAAACCTTTAACATCCCCTACACAGATGGCACATTCAAAAATCTGACAACAGCTCCTCGGAAACGGACATATTTTCCCCACATCCCACTCCAAATTGAGTGGCAACCCCAAGGCAGAAGTGAGAAGTGGCCGACACCCACCCACAGTGACATAGCCGACCCCCTGGGCTTGTCTGGCCTGAGCCAAACTCCTGCTTTCCTCACCCCACTGAAAGTCAGACCCACCAAATCCCAGTTTTTCCCTCAGAGGGGTGGCATCTGCCACAATTCTGCCCGGGTGCACCTCTGCCGTGGGGTAGGCCTTGGCATCGCTGGCAGAGGGCTGTAGATCGGTTCCGGTTTTAGAGCAAAGGTGTTGAGAAGGGCTGGAGTGACGCGTCACTCGGGTTTCTCTCCCTCTCCCATGCCTGCCAGGGCTGCTGTGAGCAGAAATTCAACAGGTCATCTTTTCCCGGGATGGAGATGGCAGCCAATGAGGAAGCTGCCCCTAGAATCGTAGAGTCGGAAGGGACCCCCAGGGTCATCTAGTCCAACCCCCTGCACAATGCCGGAAATCCACAAATACCTCCCCCTCCACACCCACGGTGACCGCTGTTCCAGGCCCAGATGATGAAAAACCTCCAGGATCCCCGGGCAAACTGGCCTGGAGAAAGTTGCTTCCTGACCCCAAAGTGGTGATCAGCATTTCCCTGGGCATGTAAGGAAGGGCCTCGAGAACCAAGCACTGGGGCAACCCTTCCTGCCCTCCCTTCTCGTGATCTGCCCGAGTTCACCGAATCAGCACTGCTGTCAGACGGCTATCGAGCCTCTGCTTGAAAACCCCCAAAGGAGGAGAGAGCCCACCACCTCCCGAGGAAGCCTCTTCCACACCGCTCTGTCAAGAAGTTCTTCCTAATGTTTAGCCGAAAAGTCTTCTGATTTAATTTCAACCTGTTGCTTCTGGTCTGACCTTCGGGGCAACAGAAAACAAATCTGCTCCATCCTTTACGTGATAGCTCTTCAAGAACTTGAAGATGGTCCCTGTTAAATTTCTGCCTGTCATGCAGCTTGCAAAGCACAGAAGCCGCACTTGAAAAACAAAAGGCATCTTACTTCAAGCCTGGCCCACGTGCCTATATATATCTATACCCAGGGCTATTTTCGGGCAGGAACGCACAGGAACGGCGTTCCGGCTGGCTTACGAGTGACGGGGGCCTTACTACGGCGGCTCACTGCCCAACGTCAACCAGATCGGGAGCGGCACCTCTGAGTTTCAGGTATCTCGTTCTTTATTTAATCGTTTACAAAGATGTGTCTCTCGCCTTACTGCTGCCGAGGCCATTAACGAATTGTGGTGTGCATAACAAAATCACGTCTCAAAAACCGTGATCACTGGCAAGAAGGAACACATCCGTAAAACGAGTTAAGCCAGAGCTAAATTACGTACAAAATCATAAAAGCAACAAGATATCGGGGCAGGAAGGAAGGATCACGGAGGGAACGCCAAACGGAGCAAAATAGTCTTCACCCATTGGTGGAAGATGGCAACTGAAGAGGATAGGCGAATCTCCCTGGGGAGAGACTTCCAGAGTTTTGGAGCCACCACCAAGAAGTCCCTCTCCTGGTCCTGGGTTGCCACCCGCCTAATCTAGGGGTGAACCAGTATCTGAGCGGCACAGCGGAGGTCTGACTGCGTGTACCCCTGATTTCTCCCATTGCAGGCTGGGGGCCTCTGCTCCCATTAGGCTGTCTATATATATATATCTATATATATCTATATAGATATATATAGATATATACATATAGACAGCCTAATGGGAGCAGAGGCCCCCAGCCTGCAATGGGAGAAATCAGGGGTACACGCAGTCAGACCTCCGCTGTGCCGCTCAGATACTGGTTCACCCCTAGATTAGGCGGGTGGCAACCCAGGACCAGGAGAGGGACTTCTTGGTGGTGGCTCCAAAACTCTGGAAGTCTCTCCCCAGGGAGATTCGCCTATCCTCTTCAGTTGCCATCTTCCACCAATGGGTGAAGACTATTTTGCTCCGTTTGGCGTTCCCTCCGTGATCCTTCCTTCCTGCCCCGATATCTTGTTGCTTTTATGATTTTGTACGTAATTTAGCTCTGGCTTAACTCGTTTTACGGATGTGTTCCTTCTTGCCAGTGATCACGGTTTTTGAGACGTGATTTTGTTATGCACACCACAATTCGTTAATGGCCTCGGCAGCAGTAAGGCGAGAGACACATCTTTGTAAACGATTAAATAAAGAACGAGATACCTGAAACTCAGAGGTGCCGCTCCCGATCTGGTTGACGTTGGGCAGTGAGCCGCCGTAGTAAGGCCCCCGTCGATGTGCCAAGCGCAGCTTCTGGGCCTGCAACTGAATTAAAAAAAAAAAAGACGGTTGTCAGCCACCAAATACCCGTTTCCTGTTGCCTACTGTTAAGGGGAACTGTTATACTGTGGGCGGTTGTGAATTTGTTGATAGTCCCTTATTGCATGGTGTAGTTCAGGGGTGTCGAACTCATTTGTTATGAGGGCCGGATCTGACATAAATGAGACCTTGTTGGGCCAGGCCATGCGTGTCATAAACTGTAATGCCAGGGAGCGGAGATATAAACTTTATAAAGAAGGAGGAGGAGGAGGAGAAGAGTTGGTTTTGTACCCCATCCCTCACTACCCAAAGGTGTCTCAGAGCGGCTTACAAACTCCTTTCCCTTCCCCTCCCCACAACAGACACCCTGGGAGGGAGGTGGGGCTGAGAGAGCTCTTTCAAGAACTGCTCTTTTTCAAGAACAGCTCTTATCAGAACTACGACTTGCCCAAGGTCATCCAGCCAGGTACAAGTGGAGGAGTGGGGAATCAAATCCAGTTCTCCCAGATTAGAGTCCGTGCACTTAACCACTACACCACACTGGCACAAACACAAAGGTGTTTTTTTTTTTACTTAAAATAAAAACATGCTTAAAACATTAGCACTCTTGCAATATTTTATTTAACAGTGTCCATAACTGACACCTCTTGCTCTGAATTATTGCATCAAAATGTCTGTGTCGTTGCAATCTTGAGCATGCTGTTCAGGTGCGTATCTGTAAGCGGCAAACCTACAATGACATAGCAGCAGCAGAACTGGAAGAAGCAGCAGAAGACAGACAGTTCCACTGTGGGCCTGATAGAAGCCCTCTGGGGGCTTAACCTGACCCCCGGGGAGCATGTTTGACACCCCAGGTGTAGTTATTTTAAGGGACTGTCAACAAAGAAGAAGAAGAGAAGATATTGGATTTATACCCTGCCCTTCACTACCCAAAGGTGTCTTAGAGCGGCTTACAAACTCCTTTTCCCTTCCCCTCCCCACAACAGATACCCTGTGAGGTCGGTGGGGCTGAGAGAGCTCTTGACAGAAACTGCTCTTTTTCAAGGACAGCTCTTATCAGAACTACGGCTTGCCCAAGGTCATCCAGCCAGGTGCAAGTGGAGGAGTGGGGAATCAAACCCGGTTCTCCCGGATTAGAGTCCGCGCACTCAACCACGACACCAAACTGGCTCTTGCAAATGTAACATGATGTAACATGTAACATGATGTAACAAATGTAACATGATCCCATGAAAATTTAACATGATCCCCTCCTCACTGCCAGAGCACAGGGACCGTTCCATATCCTCAGACCAGAGCGGCCTGCTGTAGCAGCTTCCTTCCTTCGCGACACTTGACCCCACATTTCACTCGATTGGCCTTTGCACACGGGAAAATACCGTACCAACGAGGGACCAAACAACCCCGCCACCATCTTTGCTGAAAAAGAAATCGGTGCATGCACGCTTGGGGAACACCAAGTTCTTTTTAAAAGGGGAGCGGAGTCTACCGGAGAGAAGACCAATGACTGGCACGGAAGGAGAGAGCCAGGGTCCAGGAGCACCTTAAAGACTAACCACATTCGTGGCAGGTTAAGAGCTTGATGTGAGTCACTGCTCACTTCTTCAGATAGATACAGCTAGAATGTGAGTCCATCTGTCCTATATATCTGGAACCACTCCACTTTCCAATATATGGGATAGACGGGCTCCCATTCCAGCTGTATCTGAAGAAGTGAGCAGTGACTCACGAAAGCTCATATACCTTGCCACAAATTTTGTTCGTCTTTAAGGTGCCGCTGGAGTCTCACTCTTTTCTACTGCTACAGACAGACTAACACGGCTACCCGTCTTGCTCTATCTGAAGAAGTGAGCGGTGACTCCCGAAAGCTCCCACCCTGCCACAAATTTTGTTAGTCTTTAAGATGCTGCTGGGCTCTTGCTCTTTTCTGCCGCTACAGACAGACTAACATGGTTGGCCATCTTGAGCTATCTCCATGTAAGAGGTTGTCCTTTAGCTTTATGGCCGCGATTCGCAAGTTGGCTGTGCGGAGAGGAAGGAAGCCAGGGCACGATTCAGCAGGGGAACGTGCAGTCTAGGATCGCCTTTCTCGTCCTCCCCCCAAAGAAAACTGGAAGACGGCTCCGGAGTTCTCCTGTACAATCACAGAGCTCTGCCGACCACCCAGGCCTCTAGAACACACTAACCATGAGGTTCGTTCCCCCGAAGGGGCTCAGATTATACACAGAGTTGCTACAAGCTGCCAACCCTTTGTGATGTCCCTGTTCCTCAAAAGGGGGGGGGGGATCAGAGGCCTAGTTCATTCAGCCAATGCCATTCAGTCTGGCTCAGGGGTCATTTCCTGCAGGAGCGCACAGGAGCGGAGCTCCGGTAGTAAGGCGCTCAGGGGGCGGGCACATGCAACAAGCCCCACCCCCTGCTCCCAGCAGCCCTCAGTCAGAGCAAGAAGCAGTCAGGTACGTTGCAGAGCTCCCCCTGGCCCCCCCGTCCAAAACAGTCCAGTGGCACCTTTAAGACCAAGTTTTATTCAGGTACAAGCTCTCCCTCCTCTGCAAGGACATATCTGCACTTTCCTCCCCCCCCCCCCACACCAATAGCTAGCAATCCAAAACAGTCCAGTGGAGCCTGAGAGGTGGGTGTTGCCTTCTGACACACTTCCGGTGATGTCAGGGGGTATGGCATATGAAAATAAGTTACGTTAATGAGTTATGCTAATGAGCTCCTGCGCCTCTTTTTCTACGAAATGACCCCTGGTCTGGCGTGAACCATTTCTTCCGGTAGCAGCTCACACTAACTCAGCTTAGAGGAAACACTGATTCTGGGTATAAGCTTTTGTGTGCATGCACGCTTCTTCTGTTTCCCTGTATCTGAAGAAGTGTGCAGGCACACAAAAGCTTATGCCCAGAATTAAACTTTACTTGATCTTAAAGATGCCACTGGACTCAAACTTTGTTCTGTTGGTTCAGACCAACACGGCTACCCACCAAAGCCCGAAATAGTCAAAGCCGTTCCACTGCTTGCCCCCTACTTCAGTTTCTTGGCAGCAACTGAAGACTTTCGAAGCCAGGAAGTCTTCATCCCAATCAACCAATGGCGTCCCCCACCCCCAAATTCAGGGGCTTTAAACAAACGGCAGTCCACTGCTTGACTCCAAAAAAGAATTAAAGGAAAGCTTAAAAATCCCACTGGGGAGGTATAACCGCAGCTAGTTAGAGAACGAAACTTGACAAACTGTGGTTCAATTAAGAGGAGCAGCTGTGTTAGTCGTTCTGTAGCAGTCGAAAAGAGCAAGAGTCCAGCGGCACCATAAGGCTAACAAAGTCTGGGGCGGGGAGGCACTTTCGTGAGTCACCGCTCCCTTCTTTAGATATCTGAGGAAGTGAGCAGTGGGTGCATTTAGACGCGCCGTTTGATCTGGGGTCGTGCCAGTTCAGAAACGGATATTATACGCGCGATCACACAGTCAGCATCTGCCTCCCATCCCCAGCCGTCGCTTTCCGGATCAAATCCCCTTTAAACCGGAGTATTTTGATACCAGGTCCCCAAGTGGTGTTTTCCTGATTCTCCGGTTCCAGACGCATTTTCCCCCTGTGTGATCGCTCCGGCGGTGTCGAGCCACTTCCGGTCTAACCCCCCGCCCCACTCGAAAGCTGCCCAAGGCTTCTCCTTTTTGCCCGCCATTTTTTTCCACGCGTTGTCGGTGTGCGCATAGGCGGAGCTCCGCCACTGCGTTATTTAAAACAATATTTAAACGGTGCCTAGTTTTAGCGTTTAGATGAGTTCGGGATCTCACGGAGGCCATTTTTGGGGTAAACGTTTAAAGGGAAGTGTTCCTTTAACGTTTAAAGGGAAGTGTTACAGCAGTCGGGTTGAAGTCGAAATCGCTGTTCCGCGCACGCGTGAAAATTTTCTTTCTACAGATGGCTGCCTGTGCCCAAACAGAGAGAAAAAACAACACCGACGCACGCTCCTGCCTGTGGACGGTGGGGAGCGATGTGGCTGCGCAGTGATCCAGAGCAAGGAGGTGAGTGTGATCGCAATTCTCCAGGTTTTAAAAAACCACATGGGGCCGGAGCAATTTAAACCACTCCCAGCACGGCGTCTGACCGCACCCAGTGACTCACAAAAACTCCTACCCCACCGCCAATTTTGTCAGTCTTTAAGGTGCTGCTGGACTCTTGCTCTTTTCTACGGTGGCTCAACGGAAGACTTCCTCAACCGACAAGTCTTCAGTCTTGGTGTGGCTCATGAGGGCGAGACAGAGGGAACGCACAAGCCCAAAGATAAGAACATAAGAACATAAGGGAAGCTAATGTTGGACCAGGCCAATGGCCCATCCAGTTGGGCCTTTTCGAGGCATGACCAAGCTGCGATTGGACACAGCCCCAGTTGTCTTTCTCTTTAGTCAGCGAGAAACTGAGTCCCAAGGCCAGCTCTGACACACCACCACACAAATACCACACTTATTTATTTATTTATTCGATTTATACCCCGCCCTCCCCGCAAACGGGCTCAGGGCTGCTAACAGTGGCCCAATTGCCAATAAGACCAATAAAACCATATACATCATTTCACTATAAGTTAAAACATAAAATCTTAAGGTGCTGTTCAGTTATACCAACCTTTGGTAAAACACACCTCAGGGCGTCAATCCCACACTAAATTCTTAACATCACCACATCAAACCAACAGAAATTCAGCTCTTCCTCACATCTGATAAGTCACATGGAAGCTGGCCGAAACCTCCCTACCAAAAAAACCCCACTCAAAACGTGAAGCCTTGAGGAAATCAATGAACACTTGTGTTTGTATTATGTTTCAGCAAGTCACTTCCGACCTATGGCGACCCTATGAATAAGTGTCTCCTGCACAGTGCAGGGGGGCTGGACTAGATGACCTGCAAGATCCCTTCCAACTAACATTCTATGATTCTATGATTCTAAGTGCAGGCACACTTCTTCAGATTAGAGATGTAAAATTTCCAGAAATTTTGAAACTCGGGAAAA